TTTTTTATTTTGCATTAGGATGTGCACACCCAGCTTGGAGGAAAAGAAAAGGGAGGGAGAGATCATTAAAAGGATTGGGGCCTCTAATATGCAGGGGGAAAACACCCTGTGTCTTCAGGGAGAGAGGTGTATTAGAAATCACCTATTGTAATTTTGAACAGAAGATGGAAGTAATATGGTCTAATGTGTGGCTTTCAAGACCATCTGATCACAATACTTTCAAAAGTGAGTTTTAAAAAAAGTAGAGTAGCTACTGCTTTTTGATGTGCCCCATTATTACATTCTGCATTAATGAGACTTGGGGCAGATTAAAAACATTGAAGATGCTCAAGGTGACGTACACCAATTTATTACCTTGAGCAGTGCAGGGAAAGTTTAACTCCTTCACAAAAGCAGTATTACTACCTTCATATCCAACATTAATTAGGACTGTGTTGCAAAATTCTGTCATCTTTGTGAAAAGTCTGCAGTATTTGATCAGAAAATAAACTGCCGAAGCAGGATTGGATGGATGGGTGAGAACATTACACAATCAACCATTTTGACAGGGTGACATTTATAAATTATGAACTCAAATCCTTCCTCAGTGTTAAGGGGGACTATAGTCTTTGCTTAGACACAAAATTTAAAATAAAATAATTACCACCGGTCTTAGAAAAAATACATCTACTTGGCTGTTAATTGATATGATAAACTGTTTCTTAACAGTATCATATGGCAAACTGTTTCTTAACTGAATAAAATCATTATCAGTGTAAACACCATAATAAAGTGAGAGGAAAATATGAATTGAAGCCTAATTACAAACATAAACATTGAACGTCTAAGGGTGAAACCCACAGAATTTCAGGTCTTGCTCAGCTTTAGACATTGGAGACATACAAAACAAACATATCATGGAAGAAAAAGAACCACTTATAAAAATAGCAGGTTTTATGCAAATAATTTTACAATTAGGATTTTACTGATTTCCTCTTAGGTGAAGTGCTCAGAAGAAAGCTTTCTTCACACATCACCTCCAGAAAATGTACACTAGCATAACCACATTGGCATTATCTTGAATACTGAAACTAATTTAATTGCTTTGTATGCTGGGATTCAGCTAATTCATTAGAAGTAAATTATTCCACGTTTGTCCAATCCCTGCTCTCCTTCATTACACTATTCTACACGTGGGCTATGTTTGGTAGCTACATTAACACAGTCTGCTTTAACGTAGGCTGGGCTATTTTTAAGGATTCAATACTTCAATATAAGGGGCTAGAGAAAAACTAAAAAAGCCATACCTCAGAATCAAAACACACATACAACTCTGTTTTTTCCAAAGAATCCTTGGAAAAGGTCAAACGACTTGGCTTAAAGAAGCGTCTCTTTAATGTTTCCAAGACAGTAGTGCCTTGTTCAGAGACATAATACCCTTAACCACTCACCTTCAAGTGCAATTCCAATAAATAGATCACATTTATACAGCACCAAGAAGAACGAGAAGCACTCTACATAAATGGACACTGGTCGCTGTCCTCGTAAACTGGCCTGACATCAGGGCACCTAAGACACCAACACTGCACTTTGTCCTGTGCGGCTGCGCCTAGCGAGCACACAACACGTCGCAGAGACCTTGCGTAGGCGTCAGAATTTTAAGAACGTTTCTCAGTGCATTTGGTCCACGTATTTTAAAATAACTAAAAAAAAGCACTGAGAATGTCAAGACACACCAGGAGCTCTGGTAACATCCAAAACTCAAAATCTTTCTGATTAAAGCCACCAGATGTTCCCCAGCACTCTAACATTGGACTCCAAGGACTGTAAAGCAGGTTCAGATCTATCAGTAGAAGGTTCAGCCGACTCACATCAGCTTTGTGAATCTAGGAATTCCAATGAAAACTGGTGAACTGGTTCGTATTAATGAAATATGAAGAACCTACATAATTTAGTTGGAGTATTAAAAGAGCCAAAACCAAATTTAAACAACATTCTGGATTAAAACTTGCCTATTATTTGACTGAAGATGATTCCATTTCAGCACCAAGTCAAGCTGAAATATAAGACAAGTTGATAAGGAATCCATTTTGAGATCTGCAACCTATGAGTGAACATTTCAGACACAGCCTGCAACATGATGGTTTAGAGGAAGCAGCAGAATCTAAATATGCCTTAAAGATTCAAAAAAATAAATTCAAACCTCAATTACCCTTCAATAAATTTTTCTCATTCTAGAACTGTTTTTCAATCATTCGATAAACAATCAAGTACTAATCCACCGCCACTATTTATAGAATAACGCTAAAATATCAAAATACTCCACTTCAGAATTTTAAAATTTGTACTTAAACCATAACAAAAACAGTCACTGCCCTGATTAGGAAAAAGATTTAAATATACATCTAACACCACATGTCTGACGAAGACACTAGCCAAATAATTACCTTATATAACGTTTCTGATCATGCAATGTTGATGGAGTTTCCAGCAGCTTATCCAACAGAAGTTCTCTTAAAGCTTGAATTCCAGTTTCAACTTCAGCATAATCTGAGAGTAGGGATAGGAAACAAGTCCAATGTGTGTCTCCAGCAGTGACATGAACTGAAAATTAATTTTTTCTAGGACATGAGACACTTCTGGAGTTAATGTGGAAATCAACATAAATTCTTATAACAAGCCACATCTGAAAATTTTATATAGAACACTTCTACAAAAACAGAAAAATGGACTTTGAAGTCTTTCCAGTAATATGCCAGTGAGAGATAGGCAAAGTCACATTTTAATTACTGCAACTTCTTTTTATGTCCAAGCCTTAATAAATAAATAAAATTCACTACGATTTCACATTTCTTGGTGGGGTATATACTACGAAAACTTGTCAGAAACATTGCTTAAAATAATTGGTTCATATAAATCCATCCCTTTTATGGATTAAAAACCATATAAACCCCACACAAACCTCTTAAGACTACTATGTGCTTTTTAGCTTTTAAGTTAAAAAATAAATAAATAAGTAGCAAATAACAAAACTCATATCTTACATTTTTTGAATACCTGAACCTCTGTCTTTCCAAAGAGTGACTTGGCTTTTTCGTAGTCATTAATAACCACATCATAATCGCCCTTAAAAAAAACAACACAAAACACAACACACAGAGAAACGAAAAAATAGCACACATTTATTTTTGTCAAGAAAAAAGAAACAGACTAATTTCAGGAAATAGAAGAATATTTTTAAGAATTATACCTTTTGAATATTTCTTTCAATATTCAAGGGAAGGTTGAAAAGAAATTTAAAACGCTGAAGAACATTAAGTGCATTTCTTGTTGAATCAGCTTTGTCCTTGCGACCCAGCACTTCTTGGAATAAGGTATCTGCTGTGTGACTGGCTCCTGTTTTTAAAAGCATGAAAATATGAAAAAGTAAAGTAATCAGTTCAAATGACATACAGATTCTTCCCACTTTAATGAGTCACTCATGGCAGGTTTTTTTAGAACAAATGAGTAATTATTGCTAATTTTTTTATACTTTTTTGTTCAACTATGTTCACATTTTACAACTGATGAAATACTATTTCAAAGAGAAGCACTTAGCATTTGAACGCGGTAAGACCCCTGCGCAATTAAAAACAACCACTCTTCCCTATTTCAAACACTTAACTTTGCTGCAGATACTTTATAGTTTGCTTTGGCTCCAGATCTACACTTTACAAGTAAATTATGCATCTCAGGATATGGAAAAAGTCCTAGAAAGCTTTCTTTTTAGAAAAGTATAATTTCATTACAGTTATGTCATAGTTTTAAGAATTATCACTGAGTTTTGCAAACAACTTCTGTGTATTAACAATATTTGATATTTGAGTCTCTTACAAGTACTGAACATTAAGTCAAAGACAATAGCATCACTAAAAAAAGACCAACTAGCTGGTCACTGCAGCAGAATTAATACAAACTGTCTTCACACTGCATTAATAGTCTCATTGGCTTCATCATATACAGGACCAATAACATCACCTTGGTCAGTAATTTAATGCAATTAAGTTTCTATACTATCTGTGAACATGCTTCAATAAATATAAATATAATATAGCCTCAAAACTTTTTCTGTCCAGCCTAAAAGACTTTTGTAATAAGGACTATTTTCTAACACAGGATAATAGAATTTCATTTATAGTAGGGAAGATTTATATTGCGTGCGATATTTGCATTTTTCAACCTGTGACCTATTTTTAATTAACCAAAAAAAAAAAAAAAGACTGGAACTGTTTTAGCCTTTTTGATCGTTGTGTGTAGAAGTTTCTACATTATCTGGTCTAGTGACTATACTTTAAGCAAAGATGAAAAAAAATTACATCAGTCTCGCTGGGTGGCTTGCATGCCATTTTCTCTAGTCAACACTGTGGGTGGCCTGCTCATGTTAAAAGTAGTCTTTGTAAAATAATTGTTAAATCTAAATAATGTTTAAACTTTGTTGAAATTTTGAAGCGTTGATGTAAAAAAAAAAGTTTTGTCAGGATAGCTATTTCTACTGTGCACTATTTAGCAGAGAACACTTTAATCCATTAAGGAGAAATGCACAATGAAAACAGCCAGCCAGACATTTAACAACAGACCGCTGATAGTATTTTTTTCTCTTGAGGTTATAATAAATTCTTGTTTTGTAAATCCTTCTACTAAGTAACATTTGCTTTGTTTGAATTCATATGTTTCTTTTCCACTCTTTTAAGTGCCAAGAAGAAACGTCCTATATCTGGGGATTAAAGTTATATTCACTTTTTTTTTTTCAATTCAGTGCAAAAGTTTCTAAAAGGTACCTGGCCACTGTAGGAAGTGCATAGATTTCTAGCTTTAGTTTAAAACTACACATCTTCATCTCTTTATGAATTAGTGTGCTGTTAAATCCTCAATTCAAGTACATGATTTTACCTTTTTCCATGGGCACTTTTTGTTTTACACAGAAATTGAAATATATCAAATTACTTATTTGTGTCTTATTAAAATTCAGTACTTCTTGCAGAACAGGTCTGTCTTTTCGGACTTAAACATTGTCAAGTTTCTTCCCTCCTCAGTGCTCCAAATCCTTTCTACATTAACAATCTTTATATCTTGATTCCTGACGAATAATCTCAATCTAAATTATCCATAAAGATCCTGTATCGACTAGGTTTTCAATATAGGTGATTCATCTACTGTGCACAAATTCTTTTACTTCAAAATAAAGCTCTAGTTATCCAATAGTTGTCTTTCATAGAGCCTCACGAAACACCATGTAACAGAGACTGACCTCATTTAAGATATAATTCTTAATAACTGAATTCATCTTAGCACATTATGTATTTTAATAAATATATGCAATAGTTGGTTCAGCAATTAAATTTAGAATTTAGCAAGAACTCTGTGAACATTTAGAATTCTATCTATAATACCAGATTGTCCTTCTACTATTCCCTACCTTTTAAATCAAATTATTTGGCACACTCTTAAGAGACATTTAGATGCTATGGAAAACAATTCTTAGGAGTTTGCAATGAAGCTCACAACACTAATTGTCTCTCAAAATACACATCTGCAGTCCCCAAAATGTAAACTTTGACTGAAGAACTGAAGCCATGTTTGAAAGCAGGCCCTGTTACTTGTGGAAGCTTTTCAACGGTCAGACGAGAAACAAAGCTTTGATCCTAAACTACTTCGCATAATATTATTTACTCTTTTTAAATCCTTGTATTCCTACTTCCCTGCCTCCCACCCATCATGACTTGCAAAGTATCAGGAGGAAAAGCAGCCAATTCTTTTCCCAGCAGAGCCAAACCTAATACCACTCTGAAGTGCCTGGCACAAGCTCCTCTGCAGATCCAGCAGGAGAAAGACAGGCTGCTGTACCTGCATACAGATTTCAGATTTTTTTAATCAAAAGAAACAGCACCTACATATTACAGGTACATTTGCCTCATGTTAAGGTGCGCAGTAGAACACCACAAGCCTAAATTTTTGCTTTTTTTTTTTTTTTTGGAAAATCTGAGGCACGATTTTGTCAAAGGGCGAGTGCTCTCCAAGGAATCTGTGCTTGGGGCCTGACATGGCACAAATACCGAGCACAGAGGATTGCACTGGCAAATTTCAGCAAAGGCTTTTTTCTCTTACCTCATGTGTATTGAATATTTTGCATACAGACACCCACTATGGTCTTTATATAGTGAGAGGGGTTTTTGCGGGGTTTTTGGGGTGATTTTTTGTTTTGGCTTCTTGTTTTGAGTTTATTAATTTTTTTTTTTGCATTACAGGCAACAAGACATACGAATATCAATGTTCAAACTATGCCTTTATTGTGAACATTAAAAATTCTGTACTGAAAAAAGTTAGAGCTGCTCACAAAAAACCTCACATTTTCTTTGTGCTCCCCACAGAAACACACACACAGTCACTGCTTTCTTCATACAAGAGAAGAAAAACAGTGAACTTCCATGTCACTTTCTTGATTTCATAAAACACACTCAGACTTTCCAACACTGAGTCAGCTATCTGCATGTCATTGCTGCTTATTGATACAGCACTAAGGGAAACATCTCTTCCTCTGTGAAAAAAATCACAATGAAACAAAGTAAAATTATCTTGGCACAAGTCCCAGAATCAAAGAAAAAAGTAGATTTTTTGATCTGATGAAACACATATTGAAGGGCAGCAAATTCAAGCCATCTCTCTCAAAGCAACCTTACAGCTAAGACAGAGAAACAGAAAGTACTGACAGCTTTTCAAAGTTTCTGAAAAGAATGCTAATTCCAAGCAGTCTAAATGTCAGCACACTAAGTGAAAAAGATTGTTGGTAGACCTTGCTATTGCAAACAGCTTGTATTTGATCTTTTTCTCCCCTCTTTTGCTCAAACTTCTTACAATCCTGTTATGTAGCTTAGCTCATCCTCCTACAGTTCTGTCTATCCATACAGCCCCTCTGTTTTCTTTTTCCACTCAAAACTGAGGTGACACTGAAGTTCATTTCAGGTAAGTGCTTTAGAATACCTTGATTTTGATATTTACTCTTCGTTATCATAAGTGCTGCTGAAAGTCACGGGAAGAAGCTGTTACTTATCTCAAAACGTGTACTATCACACCCTAAAACCAGAACCATCAATCAGGAAAAGGCACGAGAGGCTGTATGGTTTTCTACTTTCTACCATATTCCTAGGAATATACTAAAGTTTGTTAGAAAGTCTAAAGTCCATAAATAGTTGCTGCTGGGAGGACAAAACTTACTGTTCAGTACATTCTCCAGTTTTTGCGTCATGGATCCTTCTACTTTTTCCGTTCCATCCGCTTCCAGTTTTTGATGGATTGCTGGAATAAAGTGTCTAGTTAAAATGTAAAACATTTTAATAGGTGGGAATACATTACATCAAAGTGACACTTTTAAACATTTTTTGAAATTAAAAATAAAGTGCTATTTTTCTGGTTAGACGTAAAAAATACAAACATGCTTCATGGCAGCAGAGTCTAGGGGAGGACAGGGCTTACTGCCAGACTCTGTAGAATTTTAACCATTACTTTAACACAGATTTCCTGTATCTTCTTGAACAAGACAGCAATGCTCAGGGTAAAAACATGGAGAGAATAATGCCAATTAGCTAGCTATCCTGTAGTAGAAGTTTTAATTCAGTTTAGTATTTTGAAAATTAAGTATCACTTAAGCATGAAATACTTTTACTCTGTAAGGCGACGTTTTTACATTGATCTCACCAAAAAGGAATTAGTAATAAAGGGTAGAAAGAGAGTCATGAGGAATTTGGATAACCCCAAAATCAAGCGCTAGCACACTCTCCCACCAGTTGTTTTCAACTATAAAAATGCACTCTCAAAACACACAGCTTAAGAGTTTCTTGTAACAACACGTGGCATTAATCATTACGCAGAACCATTGTGATACTTTTGCACAAAACAACGTGAAAACAGAGAGGAGTTTGCTTTATTTTTATTGAAGGTATTATTTTTTTCCTGTCCTAAAATGCCCAAAGCCCCAATTCTTGTTTCCACGTAGTATTACTAATGGACGTGGAAATGCGCAGTATCAACATTAATTTGTTGTTTTATTTTAATTTCTTTTTCAGGGAGACATTTACCAGCGCAGTCTGACTATGTTATACCGCTCGGAAAATATGAACAGTAAATGGAGAGTAGATACTCCTTTCTTCTACTTCCCCTCTCTTACAGAGCATTCCTTACCTCTTCTCCTCTGTTTAGTACAGCTGTCGCAGATCAGTGCTGAGGTTTTTTTGTGTTTTGCTTTGTTTTTTAAGATAATATTCCTGTATACATGCACACAGCATATATAAAACACCTAGTTAAAAAGATTACTTTCTGACTTTCCTTTCAAATTTTTCATCTGTTACCATAGGTAAAATCCACTCTATCACACAGCCATCAGTTCCTGTTGCTTTAGATAAAATTAAGGCGTCTAAAAAAACCTCCTACTGCTTCCTGCTGGTTCTCAGTAGAATGAAGTGGAGCTAAAATATCCCTGCAAGCAGTGATGCTCAGTGCTTTGAAGAAAGCGAGTAAAAACATATTTTAGTTCAAAACACAAAAACAGTTTTGAAACCAGTCCCTCCCAATTGTCCCAGCTTTTCTTGCTTTGGTTTGCATGGCAGAGCAACCCGAGTCCCTCAACTGGATTCTTTAAAGATGAAACAAAGCTGAAAGATGCACTCTGTGAGGATACCTGATGTGCTCCAGGAGACACCTGGAAATAAATCCACTGGGTGATACTCAAGCTAGTCTTAAACACCACTGCAAAATGCATATAATGTGCACATAGAGATGTCATCGCCAACTGGTTTCCTCTACAACGCCACCCCTACTTGCCCCTGCTACACAGGTACACATTAAGAACAAGCAGAAACTGCCCGTAGTAAGGCAGCACTGTAGCCTCAGTCCCACTATAAGTAGTGAGAAGGTACCTGTTCTGAACAGAACAGCCCTTGATAGTCTCTAGCCTCCTTCAAAAGAAGGATTTTCATTGAGAGGAGGGGCAGGGAGGGGGTGGGTGATATTAGAAAGAATAATAATCTGTTAATCTCAAACATCTAAATTTGACCCTTCAATCCCTTGATCCTACACAAAAGTTTCAGGACGGTTTGCTTTCTTGAAAATGTAAGAGCACCTCTTTATTTCTAAGTCAAGGTGGGGAGGAATGAAACCTAATTTAGACGCCATATTCCTTAAGACAATGAAACGAATCAAACCTAACAGATTTCTGCATATTTTAAGGAACAGACGTCTAACTTAAAAAATGGTGCTAACTGTAGCAACATATTTTAGGTATAATATGGACATCACCTACAAGAATACTGATGCAATTTTATAACAAAAACATTAAAGGTTCTAATGATATTATTCCATTCATATTCAATCAGTTCCAGCCAGAGGCAGCCAATTACTGTACTGCAGTTAGTATTACATACTGAAAGGGAAGTTCATCAGAACAGCAACCACAATATAAACGGCGTTTTAAAAACCAAATGTTGCAAGTACTATTGGGACCACAAAGTGTAACGATTTTAATTTAGATATATTAAAATCATGCTGTGAAGCGTATTTTGGAAAGATACTTTCTAACAAAGTTATATATTGCCTTAGAGATCTAAAAAACTTCGTATTTTTGAATCATTAATTAAATAGCATTAATTGCTGACCAATGAAGACTTCCTTTAAGGTGTAGAACGAGAAGCTTTGAAAGAGT